CGTTCTGGATCTGATGATGTGATTCTGTCAGGAACACGATGATCATCTCTCTTCTTATGTTTTTGTTCCTATTTGTTTTTTATTCCACATTTCTTTTGTGGCCCTTTGAGATACTGAATGCACATTTTCCTAGCTAAAAGCTGTTCTGTGTTAAGTGGCATACTCCTTCAGAGAGTAGTGTTGAAGGCTTTGGAGCATGTCCTGCCTTAAAAAAAAAAAAGGCAAAGCCTCAAGCCACATGAGCAAGGGGCTCACCTTTTCCTGCAGCCTCTGTGCATTCTTGAAACAAACTGGAAATAATAGTACATTGTGAAAGGCTGCATTTAGTGGATGAATTCAGATGATGAGGTCCCTATGTGGGTGGCAGCTATCAAGATATATTATTTTACAAACATGATATAGTGATAATGGGCACTTAACTTTTTGCAGAAATCAGTTCTGATCATCTTGGAGTCAACTGAGCTATGTTGATTCCGTGAGCAAATTCGAAGCTACTTCTTTTTTTTCCTATAACGGCTCTGAAGTAGGGTGTGTTTCCTGCTAAGTACTGCGTTTCAAATATGAAAACACACTACCATTTTTAGTTTGGTGGTCACTGGGACAAATCCAGCCTCGAAACAGCAACAGACAGTTTAGAGGCCTTTGTTAAGGTGAAGCTATAGCACCCAGATTGATGGTAACTAGATGCTTTCAGAAAATAAGACGTGGTCTGTGCTTGCCTCTGTTTTGTAAAGGGTTTTTTGAAGGCAGGCTTTATAGACATTTACAGGTGAGGTTCCTATGTAATTTGACAGTTTTACTTATGAATTTCAGAAGTGACGAACATCAGGAAACCTGGATTGTGATGTAATCATACTGAAAAACTAAGAAAGCAATCCTTTTGTCAGTGTCTGCTGAAGGAAGCTGTAGAAGAGTTGTGAACGTTTCATTTCATGATAATGGGAGCTCCAAAGAGATTACGCTTTGGACTGCTGAGGGAGAGTAGCAGAGCCAGCCTTGAAGATTCTGTCCCACCAACAGTGAAATAGATACTGTGCTCCTGTCTAGGAGAGAGAACTGCATCAGACAAAACAAGATCTGGGGTTTATTTGTTGTTTCTTACCCAACAGTTTCTTCTTCCCTGCCTCTCCCCCTCCTTTCCTCACTGAATCCTAGATGGGCATAGGTACAGCACAGTAAGATAAGCATTCTCCTGAGTGGTTAGCAAATCAGGTATGGATGGGAGAAGGCAAATTTTACTTTCATATTTTCTTTCTTGTGTTTCTTTCCCTCGTTAAAAGCTTACAAACTTAATGGAAATAGAGATAGGGAAACAGTATATAAATTATTAAAAAAAAAAGTGTTGTGTAGTTGCTAGGGATGGTGGAAAATTATGATTAATACTTTTTGATTAATCTTTGGTGCTGTATTCGTGAGGTACTGAAAAACAAATGTTTTAAATGCAACGGAGGACAGTATTTCAACTCAGGAGTAACTTTGGTAATAGCATTAAGCTAACATGATACAGATAAGTATCCAAAACATAGAGAACAAGGTTGAGAAGGTATAATGGATTGGAGAAAGGAACTGGCATTAATAAACAAACCAGACTTGTCAAATGGCTAATGTGGGAGGCAGATAACCAGAGCACAGGTATAAAGTGATGAAAGTTGTTACTAGTCAATAATACCAGGAGGGTTTGTTAGTTATTACCAGTCACAAACTGAATGAGTCAGCAATGCAATATCATTACCAAAAAATATTGTGTAAATCCAGTGAGGTGGTACTTTACGCTTAACTGAGTTGTCTCTTAGACTGAGATGTTGCAGGGAGTGTGGGCGTTTGCTTTTTACCCCTCAGTTAGAAATGCAAGCTATCTGGGAAGAATTCACAGAATTTCAGCAAAACTGTGGGGTAAACAGAGAAGGATGTTAGGTGTCTGGCTGGATCAAGCAAAATACAGCCGTAAGAAATCCGAGAATCCTGTTTCTCCCTCGTTATCTTCCTTGTCTCCTTTTTGACCTGTTGCTTTTGATCGCCTTGCTCATCAAATGTAGGAAGAACAATCTTTCCTGTATATTTTCTGTAATCTAGTTTCCTTTAAAGCATCTGTAGAAATAATTTTTTCTTGAACTGTGCTATGTTGTGTACTTCAAAATCTGTCAGTGTACTGTCTATGATCTCTAGCATAGTAAAATAGTATAACATACCATTTGGGGGTCTAGTCAGGCAACTTTTAAAATTATCTACTTGATTTTTTGTCTGTCAAGGAAGGCCAAAGACGACGTTGGTAGCTGTAACAGCTACTATAATCACTGTTTAATCAGGGATGACTTAATATTCACAATTTTTCATCTTCCCACTGTTTTTCACAGCAAGTTACCTCTACTGTCTGCGGCTAAATCTGTAAGTTGTATGCTGTCTTAGATGCAGGCGTTTGGAGCTCTTTGTGTCAAGTCTAAATCTCTCCATTTCTTTGTGTATAAAAATCCCCAAGTTGTCTCCTCTTACCCATTCACTCAGCTAAAATTAACTTCTTGGCTCTTGTTCTTCTACATTTTGATTACTGCAGCATCTTTTTCTCCACCTTTGACACAGTCTTGCTCAACTACATTCATAACATGCTGGCAAAAATTGCTTTGCTGATAAATGCCATTACTCCACTATCTCAAAAGAACATTTTGTCAAGATTGACCAAACCTGGATGGAATTTTTCTGATACTTTGGGGAAAAACATGTGGGATGGGAAGGAACAATCCCAAAAGCGATAATTCAATGCCCTGAAATGAAAATGGTATTTTTTCCCTAGAGATCATCGCCCAAAGAACTGAGGCATAAAACTGGATCATAATATTATCATCTTGAAGATCTCATGTCTTATGCTTAGATTGTAAGCTTTGTGCCTGAGATCCATTTTTCTCTGCCCCTAGTGTAGAACTGCTGCAAGCATAGCAGAGTTGTGGGCCTTGATTGGGTTTTCCAGGGACAGCAGTGATGCCAATAATAAAACTGGCTTCCTAACCCTGTGTGAGTGGAAAACTGAGAGTCTTCTGTGCAGAGCAGAGTTGACCGGGCCTGTTCTACCTACTTCAGTTTTGGGGAGGAGTTTCACAGTAAGGGCCTTGTGCCTCCGAGGCTTAGTGCCTCCCTTTTTAAACAAGTAGTGGAATGGGACTTCTGTTGTCTGGGTGTTTAGCATAGGACTGACAAATCCAAGATGTCTTTTTGGGAGCACCTCTGTTTCTGCTCCCAGAAGGGATCAACTGGATGAGGTAATCATCTCTTCCACTCAAGTGTTGCATGTTGCATAATTCTACAGTTACCCCACAGACCTGAATCAAGGCAACTGCTGAAGGAGGGAAGGGTAAAAGAAAACGGGCAGCCTCTGTGGTGTTGTGTCCTGGCTGGGCTACAGCTCAGCTAAGCAGAGGGCTTTGCTTTCCCCCCTGCACACCTCTCTTTCTGCTCCAGGAAGGTGTTGCACCTGAGCAGTGTGGGGGTGGGAGAGAGGCTGTGTCTCACTCAAAAGCACAAGGAACTCGTGAAAGGGTGCAAAACTGTGCCTAAGTAAAATGCCCTGGGTTGGGAAAGGAGTACCCATGGATGCTGTTTTCTGAGGAGATGGTCAAGCACCAGTACCACTTGCACTCAAAGCAAAGTGCCTGCATGGCACCATGGAGCATAATGTGTGATGGATGTCAAACTTCTGCTTTGCTGTAGCAAAGGCCTTCGGAGTTACTAAGGCAGAGACTCACCTGTTTGAATACAGAGTTTTCCTTGTGGTTTTATTTGTTAAAGTCCCTCACATTAAAGAGTATTTTGTCTCTGCTTATCAAAACCTTTATTTAAGGAAGTGCTGTGTATGCTTACTACTCCTTTATTCATGCAACCACACTGCTTTCATTCATTTATTTTTATACATATATATGATTTTTTTTCTTCCCTCTTTTAAGTTGCCTACTTAGGACCTACAAACTGTAATTTGAATTCATGTGAAACATCAGGTTAACTTGCCTTCTCTCTGCTTAGTTGTTAATATATTTTTAGTGTAATAAGAAATGTTAGATAAGTGTGAGTGTGATATATGAGCTGTTGGTTGGTGATGATCTAGGTGGCTTGCTGTGCTGCATTGTGCAGCATGATGCTCTCTTGTGGTATTTGAGGCTGGGGTCTTAGAATGCATATTTCTTGGGACAACAGCTAGGGGTTTTTATCCCATCTGGAATCCAGATCTGTTCTGCCAGCTCTTGTTTTAAAGCACTCGCTATCGTATGTACTCAGTGACACATTCAGTCCTGTAAATGTGTGGCAGTGAAGGGTCCAGTTGAGAAACACTTTACATGAACAATTTACTTCTTTTTTTCAGGTATTTGAAATTATGCTAAATTGTATTGTAATCTTTGTGCTTTTGTGGGGGTTTTGTCCTATGTGTGTTTTGGGGTTGGTTTGGTTTGTGTGTAGGCTTCTTTGGTTGTTTGCTTTGTGTTTGTTTTGTGTGGTTTTGTTGGGGGTTTTTTTGTTTTTTCACCTTCAACAAACTTTCTGATTATCGATTCTTAAGTTAGCATTTAACATTGGAATGATTGTAGAACTTGTTTTGCTACCTGTTAGGTTTGCCTTGCAATTATGTATTTTACTATATGTATTTCATAATTTCTCCACCCACCTCTGCCCTAGCATGTTAATCTTTCTTCTCCGCTGTCTCTGCTGACTTGACAGAGGCTCTGCATTTAATAGAGCTAGACCTGTTCATTTTCTAGCTGTCTTGCAAAAACTGGTACATGATGCTAGTCCTCAGAGCCCAGCACTACTTCAGGGTCAGTGTTCTCATCATCACTGGTCCCACAGATCCTGTGGTCCGTTTGATTAGTTGGGATGTCCTTTTTTTTAGCAGAGACTCCATGGGCTGTTCCTGTGTGGGTGTTTCTTTTGCAAATATGTTTATTTGTCACAACATGTCAAGAAGACAAGAGACACATATAACTCTACTTCTGTGTGAAGTCTTACTGCTTTGTGGATCTCAGCAACAGGGAGAAGTTGAGGGATGGAGGACGTGGTGATTGCAGGCATAGCAGGAAGGCTGCCAGAATCGGAGAACTTGCAAGAATTCTGGGAGAACCTGATCAATGGAGTTGATATGGTCACAGAAGATGATCGGAGGTGGAAACCAGGTGAGTATTTATTGTCTCTCCTTTTGAAGCCTTGGGTTCATAAAATCATAGAATGGTGAGGTTGGAAGGGACCTCTGGAGATCATCAAGTCCAACACCCTGCCAGAGCAGGGCCATCCAGTCTATAGGGCAGGTCACACAGGAACACATCCAGATGGGTCTGAAAAGTCTCCAAGGAAGGAGACTCCACAACCTCCCTGGGGAGCCTGTTCCAGTGCTCTGCAACCCTGACAGTACAGTTGTTCTCCCTCATGCTGAGGTGGAACTTGCTGTGCTCCAGCCCCTCATCCTATCGGAGGGTACAAGTGAAAACAGGTTTCTCCTTTCTTCTTGACCCCCAGCCCCCATATATTTATATACATTAATGAGATCCCCCCTTAGCCTTCTCTTCTCCAGACTGAAAAGCCCCAGGTCTCTCAGCCTCTCCCCATCAGGCAGGTGTTCCATCCCCCAGTCAGCCTCGTAGCCTCTGCTGGACGCTCTCTCGTAGATCTCTGTCCCTCTGGAAATGGGGAGCCCAGAACTGGACACCCTGCTCCAGGTGAGGTCTCAGCAGGGCAGAGCAGAGGGGGATCAGGACCTCCCTTGTTCTGCTGGACACACTTTTATTAATGCACCCCAGGATCCCATTGGCCTCCTGGCCACAAGGGCACACTGCTGTCCATGAAGAACTTGTTGTCCACCAGGACTCCAAGGATCCCTAACCTCTCTAGCAGATCTCCTTGTAACCTGTACTGGACTGTACTGGTGCATTTTATTACTCCTGCCCATGTCCAGGACTCTGCACCACTTCTTGTTGAATCTCATTAGATTCCTCTTTGCTCAGCTCTCCAGTCTGTCCACAGACTGGACATTCTTGCTGAATGGCCTCACAGCCTTTGGGTGTATTAGCCAAACCTCTCAGTTTCATATCACCAGCAGACTTGCTGAGAAGACACTCTATACCATCATCTAGGTTGTTAATGAAGATGTTGTACAGGACTGGACCCTGGACAGGAGTTCTGGAGGAATTATCCTCCAAAAGGGAAGGATTTACGGGATGTGAAACCCTGACAGAGCTTCTACATTTACTTCTGACATATTGTCAAGAAATTCAGGAACAGAATGCTTTTATGGAGGTCTCATGCAATCCATTCTACAATGTCAGGTCCCATGCAGTAGTAGCTTATAAATAATCTGTAGCTTTTGCTCAAATAAAAGAACAGTGACAGAGCAGCTAGGCAGCATGAATCCTGCACTTGCTGTTGATAGCTGTGGCAGTCAGCCAGCTCTGACATTTTTCTTGGTTCAGAAGTAGTGCAGAGATGCCAGTCCAGTGATTTATGGCTTTTTACAATGTTCTTTTCTGTCCGATTGTCCTTCTGAAGCATTTGGCACACATCTATCCAATTCAAGCTAGTGATTTCCAGAAGTGAAAAGTAGCTTCTGTTTTTAAGTGGGTCTGACTGGAACCACTGATTTGGACTCTGTTTGGTACAACTGGCCAAAGCAAAAACACTTAAACTATGTAGATGGCTTTTGCTGCCATATCCAAGGAAGTCTTAAAAATGACAGTTGGTTTTGTGAATGCAGTGTTCACATTTCCAAACGAGATTCAGAGAGATGGGTGGGTAGATGTTTGTGCAGTACTTCGGGTACGTGTGGTGGGTTGACCCTGGCTGAGCACCAGATGCTGACCAAGCCACTGTATCACCCTCCACATTTCCTCTTCCTCCTCCACAAAGCAGAAGGGGAAGGGAAAATAAGGTGGAGACAAGCCCCTTTGTGGGTAAAAACAAAGCCAGTTTAATTAGAAAGCAAAGGCAAGCAGTGAAGACTTGTAGCAGTTGTTCCAGAGGACAAAGGAGTAGTCGAGTCCGTGGTCGTCTGCTCAGTGGTAGTGATAACGTGGGTGTTACAACACCCTTCTAAATCCCAACACAAAGGCCCTGCACTGTGAGGGCTGCAGGGGGAAAATCAGCTCGGCCAGACCCAATAAGTACTGCAGCAGGAAGGGAGATCTCACGTGCCATTGAGAATTTGCTGTGGTCATTCTTGTACTTGGTCTCATCTGATAGCTATTTCAAAACTGTTGTATTCTATGACTCAGTGTTGAATTTTTCTTCTCAGGAATTTATGGACTGCCCAAGAGAAATGGAAAGCTCAAGGACATAAGCAAATTTGATGCTTCCTTTTTTGCGATCCACCCCAAACAAGCTCACACCATGGACCCTCAAATGCGCCTGCTGTTGGAAGTTTCCTATGAAGCTATTTTGGATGGAGGTGAGCAGCTGAATGATTGAAGAGGGAGCATTGAGCTGTGTTGTCTCTATCTTGGTGCAGCAGGAGCAGACCTGCACCCATGCAATGAGATTTCTATCGAGAAAGCCATCAGATTAGAGAGGAGAACAAAGACTGGTACAGGCATTAGAATGAAGCTGTTTTCTCTGGAACTCAAACTAGGAAATCTGTGCTGGCTGCCAGCAAATCTCTGCCTGAATCATGTGATACAACCTGTGCAACAGAAATACTTAATAGTCAACAGTTCTAGAGTTTTTATATGTTCTGTTCTACCCTAAGACTCCCATAATAGATCCCTTTGTTAAAGGCCTACTTGTAGTGCAAAAGAAATATGGCTTGGTTAGAATTCTCATCCATGGTCTAAAAGAATGGTGGATGGCCTGATGCATTCCTGTCTATTGGACAAATTCATGAAAAATGTGACATGTGATCTGCCTCTGTAGAAGGTTTGTCCAGGAGGGTGCTTTCAGAAATAGGAGCCTCTCTCCCTCCATCACTGCCAGTGTGTGGAGCTTTTGAGTTACTCTCCCACAGAACCGAAAAGTTTTTGTTGTTCATGTTAATTAGTTTCATGTCTGAACATAAGCAGATGGGAAAAAGTTGGAACCACCTCACTAGTACTGACTTATTAAAATTAATGCTTGCTCCTCTTCTGCCAAGCCTCAGTCTGGAGGCTTGAGTATGTTAGCTTATCTGATCAGCATTTGTCTCATAGTCCATACACTCTTTTACACAAGACTCTAGCGATGCCCAGTTAAGCTGAAAAGCTGTCTCTGGGCACAGTATGTTCTGGCCAAAAGCCAATACTAGACTTCTGGTGGAGTCTGCAGCAAGACTTGTAAGGTCTGCAACTGAAGCAGATAAAAGGTCACTAACTATAGGTGAGGGAACAATGCCACAGGGGCGTCAGAAAGGGACAGTAAGTAATATTTCATTAACTCATGCCAGCATACTTCCTATCTACCTAGTTTGCCCCTCTTAAGTTTGTCTACTGTAATCTACCTTCCAATATCCCCATAGGTATTAATCCAGCCACCCTCCGTGGCACAGACACGGGCGTATGGATTGGTAACAGTGGGTCAGAAACTGGTGAAGCCCTTAGTCAAGATCCAGATGAGATTTTGGGATACAGTATGACTGGCTGCCAGCGTGCTATGTTTGCCAACAGGATTTCCTACTTTTATGACTTAAAAGGTAAGTGCCCCAAATGTGTCAATGCTAACCATCAATTGCAATTTGAACATGATTGTAACAGTTTCTGTAGAGGAGTAGGGTGGATGTGATGACATAGACCCCCTTTGGGCTGGGAAAGTAGCATGCAGCTATTGTGAGGAGGCACAGGAGAAGCAGAACAGGCGTTGTGTCTGTGTGATCAGACACACTGTAAGGCTCTGTAACTCAGTTGCTGCTGGGGTGTAGCTGGCATTCATCTGGAAGAGAATGGCATCGGGAGGCCCAGGTCCTTTTCTGGCCTTTAGGCTGCTGTTTGCTATGAAGTTGTGTGAAGTCAGCCAGCCCAGAGACAGACTGACTGGAACAGTTTGTTCTTTTTGAGTAAAGTGGAAGAAACGTGAGAGCCACCAAAATGTGATTGAAGGCACAGACGCGACTTGAACCACGTGTGGCACTGAGGAGTGGAGGGATGGGAATTGCTCTGAAGAGCAGAAGAGAATGGAGATGGTGGCAAGGGCAGCACAAGGAAGGGGAAGGGATTTTTTCTGGTGAGAATGGGGAAAGAGATGAGGCCTGTCTCTGAAGCTGAAATAATTCTTTTTGATGGAGACGGATGGAATTTTTTTAAAATACTCTTAAAACCAAACAGTTTGCACTTTTTTTCCCCACCTTTCTCATCTCTTATTACCTGGGAGGCAGCAGAGATGGTGATTCTTGTTTTACTGTTGTCTCAGTATTGCCTGTGGTGTTCTGAAGCAATTCTTATTTAACTTCTGTTTTTTAAATATGTTTCTCTTGTGATCCCATCCTATAGTCTTTGGGCAGCATCTCTAGGAAATAAACAGTAAAACCTAGCATTTCTGTTTTCCCTTTCTGTTCCCTAAGGACCAAGCATGACTATTGACACGGCCTGCTCCTCTAGTCTTGTTGCTCTGGAAAATGCTTATCAGGCTATTTGTCATGGACAGTGCAGTGCAGCCTTGGTAGGAGGTGTCAACCTTCTGCTGAAACCTGGCACTTCTGTGCAGTTCATGAAACTGGGGATGCTTAGTCCTGCTGGTGCTTGCAAGGCTTTTGATGCTTCAGGTAAGGCATTAGTACAAAAAGGTTGTCATGTTGTATGAGGGGGAACTCCTTGTGGAATCTGTGACCAGATACTCTTGTAATAGAGCAAAGACCTGGCCTTGTAGTTGTTTGTAGATGCACTGTTTGGGACATACCCTGGACCTGATCTGTGTTGCATGCTCCATTGAACCTAGAAAACTAACTCTGGGGAAGAAACCGTGTGGTTCATTCCTCAGCCGCTGGGGAGAGGAAATAGCTGCCTCCTGATGGAGACTTTCTGTCAGTGTTTGTGATGAGCAGCAGGCTGTTTTAGGTTTGGTTTTGTTTTGGTTTTGTTTTCTTTTTTGACTTGAATTAATGTGTCATACTCTCAAAGCAGTCTGTTTTAAGTGGTAGCTCAGGAACAAGGTAACCTAACTGCGTGGTGTTTTGCAACTTTTTTCAAAGCAGAGCAGAGTTAGTGACTTACTCTTCTCTCTCTGATCTCAGGGGATGGATATTGTCGCTCTGAAGCTGCTGTCGTTGTTCTTTTGACAAAGAGATCTATGGCTAAGAGGATCTATGCCACAATAGTTGGTGCTGCAAGTAACACCGATGGCTTCAAGGAGCAAGGTAGGGCTTGAGCCTCTGAAAAATGGGACACCTACTGTATCAGAAGAACCGTTTAGTCTTTATAACAAAAAATGGGCTGTTGTAATGTTCTTTAGATGTGTGAAGGTTTTTCTCATTGTTTGAGATTTTTTTTTTTTTTTTGACTTGGCAATGCAAAGTTTAGGACTGTTTTGTAAAGAAGTTGAAGGAGACAAGTGGTGGTTTGTGGTACAAAGTGACGGGAATATCCTGTTGGTAGTTTGGCCTTCCTCAGGACACTTCTGCAGTAACTTCTGCATGGATAGTAGAAATGTAGGTTGTGTTATGACTGTAAGGCTTTCTCCCGCCTGGTGTTCTACTTCTCCTACTCTCCAGTTCTGGACACGCTAAGTTTCGCATGTTCTGCTTGATCTGGGCATCTCCTAGCATGCTGTTGACCAGTATCTTTCCACACTAGTATAACTCATTCATTAGGCCCATTTCTGGTTCTTTTGCTCTCCTTCTGAAGAGCATGAGAGGCTTTGCGTGTTTGGTGCGAAGGACATTAGTGTAAATCCTGAAAAGGTCTCTGGCTTTTTTTGGAGCTGGCAACCCCAAGCAGCTGAAAGGATGTTAAAACCAGAACAGGACGCATCTGCCAAGAAAGAGGAATTGATGGCAGTTTTGATCCTAGGTGTTACATTCCCATCTGGAGATATGCAGCGTCGGCTGGTCAGCTCTCTGTACAGAGAATGCGGTATCAGTCCTGGAGAAGTGGAGTTTGTTGAAGCTCATGGGACAGGCACCAAGGTCAGCATGGCCTCTTTGGGTTTGGAGCATTTTGTTCTCCCTTATTTTCTTCCCTTACTTAATTTGCCACTCTTTTCCATCAAATGATTCTTTTTCTTTTTCCCAAAAGCGAAGTCTTTCTCCCTTCTTTTGTTACTAGAATAAGTACTGCTTCATCACTTTCAGATGTTGCCCAAACACCTTAATCAGATTTCAGATTTCTCTTTTGTGGTGTGTTTTCGAAGTGTTAGCTAATAGTCACTATGATTCTCTTTCTACTAGGTTGGAGATCCAGAGGAAGTAAATGGCATTGTAAATGTCTTCTGTCAAAGTGAGAGAGAGCCACTGTTGATTGGATCAGTCAAGTCAAACATGGGTCATTCAGAGTCTGCCTCTGGGCTTGCTGGATTAGCCAAGGTAACAGATGTCTTCAAAAAGGAAAACGGGGGGAGGGAGGAAACAAAACAGCGTGGGTTTTTTTTTTTAATGTTTGCTTGTTTTAAGGAAGATTTGCACTGATCCAGGCTAAGATGTTCACTGGTAATGAGAAGAACTTGGGTGATTCTTGTTACCTACTTCTTGCTTCACCTGAAAATACTTCTAGAAACTCGGGTAGCTATTCTGCAAGTTGGACACAAATGCTCAGGTGGTCCTTTGCTATGTGCACATACAAGTGTGCACACACGTGCATGCACACTCTTTAGTTCACCCCTTCCTGCTGAAAAAAATACAGGAGTGTAACTCTGCTCGGAATAAGTGCTTCGGATCACTTTATTGATTGTCCTTACAATGGACCTTGCAAGAGAACCCTACTGGAAGTCATTTGGGTTTGAGGGGTGTACGAGTAGAGGGATTTGAATGTTTGGAGTGGTTGGTAGTGACCAAAGATAAGAGACAGTGTGGGTGGTCAATGCCAGAACAGTAGCTGGTCCTTCTGGCTGTTTGTCAGGGATGTATCATCTCTTCTTCTACTCTTATGCTGGCAAGAAGCCAGGTGGGTTCTTTGGGATGAGCCTGCCAGCTTGAATAACTGGTTGTCTTAGCAACTAGCCTACTAACTACTGCTGCAGACAGACAATCATCTGCTGGCAGTATCTGCTAAACTGCTTAGTAGAGAGCTAGCTGATGTTCGCACTTGCTTGTAAGCCTATTACTGGCAGCCGCAGAGCCACGTAAACTGGAGTCACGTATCCTGTCAGAATTTTAGCCTCTGTAAAGTAGTTATTGTGACCTGAATACATACAATGTACTGTGAATAGCCTCATCTGCAAATAAGTCGTGGGGAGAGCAATGTCTGTCTCTCTGTAGAGGAAAACTTTTACTCTTTTTTTTTTTTTTGGCACCTCTATCTCTGACTGACACCTTCTTTGCAGAAAGAATGGTAACTGAGTCATGAAATAAAACTCTCCACCCATACTGTGTCGTACATTAGAAACACTTTGTTTAGTGGAGTTCTGCTCTGCTCTAGGACAGGATCATGACTTTTGAGGTACTGTTTCCTCATCCGTGTTTCTTGAAGGGTGCAGAACTGCAAAGACAAGGGCCACAATTTCTTTTTGAAGACTTCTCTGACACCCATTTCCTAACTCTTTTTGTCAATTTTCCCACTTAACTTTGTATTGGAACTTGAAGCTGCAGGCAGGAGCCCAGGGCAATCATCATGCCTACTAGAATATCTTCTTGCTATACTTCTATTAAGTTGTCAGATCTGGAAAAAAGACCTAACACATCTGGAAAGCATCTGAAGCTTTGGAAGTATATCAGAAGCTCTGTCTCCGTTCTTTATTCCTTGAAACTCAGGCCACACTTGGTATTTTAACACTTGAAAATTAATCAGGGTGGCAGATGAGACCAAGCCAGAAATTAAACCAAGCCCACTGTCTCTTAGACAGTAACTGTCTTGGAAAGTCTGCAGTTTCCATACATGTTTTAATTTAGAATTCCATAAAATGCTTTTATCTGTGAGATGTCAATTAGGAAAATAGATCTTGAAAGTACCTGATTTCAGATTATGTGGACAGGTGGGAAAGAAACTAGGGCTGGCCAAGGCCACTTCAGTTAAATTCTGGTTAAGGGAGGGAAAACTCACCTGCACCTTTGAACTACTCAGCCTGTCTAATTACTTGCTCTACAGCAAAGACAAAGCTTCTTGGTGGCTTTGGTGTACACTCACTGTACTGTACTCTCAAACTTCTGTAGAAAACATGGCAGACTTAAGAGTACAAATGTGTGTGCTGTGTAAAGCAACAGAAAGTTCAGAGTGCATAGTATTGTAGGTGTAGGACAGCATGCATGAAAACACTGGACTGCAACTTCAAGCATGGGGACTGGAGTTGAAACCGTGCATTCGCTGTGGTTGTTCTCTCAGGTAGGCTGCCAGGTCTGATAGTCAGCTTGGAAGAACAGTTCCCAAAGCAATATCTGTTTCTGTGACCATTTTGTGGTGATGAAGGAATGGCCAAACAGCAGAGTGTTTGCAACTGGCATTGTAGTTGGTGGTTTGCTGGACTTGTGCCACAGAAGTGTATAGAATCATAGAATGGTTTGGGTTGTAAGGGACCTTAGGGCATCCACAGTTCCAAGGCAGGGACACATTTTACTAGACCAAGTTGCTCAAAGGTCCATCTGTCCTGGTCTTGAACACATCCAGTGATGGGGCATCCACAGCTTCCTAGACAACTTCTTCTGGTGTCTCACTACCCTCACAGTGAAGAACTTCTTCCTAATTTCTAATCTAAATCCTCCCACTTCCAGTTTGAAGCCATTATCCCTTGTAGTCCTATCACTACAAGCTCTTGTAAAAAGTCCCTTTGCAGCTTTCTTGTAGGTGCCCTTCAGATACTGGAAGGCTGCAATTAAGGTCTTCCTGGGGCCTTCTCTTCTCCAGGCTGAACAACCCCAACTTTCTCAGACTGTCCTCATAGGAGAGGACATAGGCCTGATGTCATGGACTGTTTGTAGAGCTGCTACTGAGAGAAGTTGCTCCTGCATTTTTGGCACAGCCGTTCTAACTCTTTACACTGCTTTCCTTTCACTCTGCCAGTTCTGACAAGTCTGCTGCTCTTGCTTTTTTGGAAGAAGACAACAAAAGAGTGCAAAACATGAAGCAAACTCCTTTACTAGTGCTTCAGGTTGATTCTTTTGCAGAAAAGGCAGAAGTGGAAGCAATTGATGTGATAAGAACAAATATGGTGGTGTGTGGCTGGGGAGAGATGAAGCAGAGTGTGATGAAGGGACTGGATCTGAAAGGGGAGGAAAGTGATATTCTTAGTAGCCAGGCAGCTTTTCCAGCAAGACTGGCTTTCCAGATAGAAAGGATCTGGTAGCTAAACTTAAAGCAACCACCCTCACCTTCTCTGCTGGCTTCCTGAATGGACTTGAAATTTGCCTAGGTGAAGTAGGTACTACCTCAGTAACATCAATAATGCTGTTATCTGAAGTTTCTTTTTATGCAAACGGAGAGCTGCCTTAGTGTATGCTACGTGGTCATTTACAGTAAAACAGTAACAACAGAAGCATGTTTGTCACCAGAACACGTGGAGCACAGAACAGTCTCATTTGCATGGTGGTTTGTTTTTTTTTTTTCTTCCAGGTCATTCTCTCTCTGGAACATGGGCTGTGGGCTCCAAATCTTCATTTCAATACCCCAAATCCAGATATTCCTGCCTTACAAGATGGCTCTTTGGAGGTAGTTTGTAAGCCAACGCCAGTGAAAGGTGGCCTTGTCAGTATCAACTCCTTTGGCTTTGGGGGTGCTAATGCTCATGTCATTCTGAGGCCAAATGATAACAAATGCCAGACTCCGAAGACTTGTAACGTGCCAAGACTGGTTCAGATTTGTGGCAGAACCCAGGAAGCTGTGGAAGTACTGATCCAAGAGAGCAGAAAACATGGAGGATGCAGCCCGTTTGTAAGCCTGCTCAATGATATCGCCGCACTTCCCGTGTCCTCCATGCCCTACCGCGGCTACACGCTCGTTGGCACTGAGGGTGACCTAAAAGAGGATCTGGCAGACCCCTCTGGTACATCTGCTCAGGTAGGCATGGGGCAGTGGGTCCAGTTCTACCTTCCTCTGCAGAGCTGGGGCTCCAGCAGTGGGAGTCTGTGCTCGAATGCCGCTTTCCACTCTAGCGTGAGGACACGTCTTGCAGCCCTGTGATACCTAGGAGACTCCTGTTTCCTGTATTCATCTAATCCTTTTGATTTTGCTAGCATCTTCTGATGATAGCAAAGTCCAGGAAAATAAAGTATTTAGAGGATGCTAGAAATGCACAATGTGTTGCTCTTAGAGGTCTTTCACTGCCAGAGCAAGTGTGTGATGTCTGCACCTTTTCTGGAGCACTGCTAAAGCTCACTTTCTCCTTGCTTATCCTGCAGGTATGGGAACACAGTGGAAAAATATGGGCCTGAGCCTTATGAGGCTGGATTTGTTCCGCCAGTCTATATTGCGCTCAGATGAGGCTTTGAAGAGCACAGGCCTGAAGGTCTCAGACCTGCTTCTGCAAGCAGATGAGAACACTTTTGATGACATTGTCCATGCATTCGTTGGATTAGCTGCAATCCAGGTAAGATTCAGCTGGCTGGTGAAGGGAGTCATGGATTTAATGCACATAGAAGCATGTGGTGCTACTGTGTGTTTGGACAGTAACACTTTATACCGATTAATGGACACTTGTTTTGTGTAACCAGCCAATGGCAGCTGCTAGAAATATCCCTCTGATAGGAGGGGGAGTGTGTTATACCCTTGGCAGCTTTGAGCTCTGCCACATGCAAGATTCTTGGACAAATATTGATCTAAACTGATCAAGAGACTTGATCTCTGATGGATGCTAAAAAAGGCTCCGTTGAATGCCTTCTAAAACTTGTCCAGTAAACGAATTAAATTATGCCAAATGATCTTTGTTTTAATTCTGAGTGTCAGTATGGGATTCACTGTGTCTTAAACTAGAGGCAGAGCTTTTAAAGTTATCTAGAAAGCTGGTCTTACCTCTAGCTTTGTATAGACAGGCTCTTAGCAACCTCTGTTGTTGGAAATGGCTTCTTAGTGGAAAGGTCAAAACAATACTGGAGTCACATAATGGTTCTTGGGATAGCTTTGAAATGAGGCTGAAGCTGTGGTTGTCAGTGGAAGAGAAAGCAGTGAGGCCAAGAAGAGTGTCTACCAAAAGCCATTTTGTGATGTATTCACTACTGCTGTGTGCCTTTGGGGCCTGACACCTGCTTGCTCTGGCATGGAACCAGCAATTGTGCTTTCCCTTGCAGATTGCCCAGATTGATATGCTGAAGGCTGCAGGTCTGCAACCTGATGGGATTTTGGGCCACTCAGTGGGAGAAGTAGTTTGTGGCTATGCAGATAATTCTTTAAGTCATGAAGAAGCCATTCTTGCTGCTTATTGGCGGGGACAATGTGTTAAAGAGGCCAAACTGCCCCCAGGAGGAATGGCTGCTGTGGGTAGGTATACCCTTGCCAAGAGGGCAATACAGGAAAGTACATCTGATCTCTGTTTGATGGCATTGGGATAAAGTTTGGCTCTGAAATGTTTGGGTGGAGAAAATCTCGCCTGTAAAACTTTTTGGCTGCTGGTGCCTCTTCTTTTTCTTCTTGTGTAGAACAGGTTATTATATTTCTTGATATATTGGTAGTAGTCTCTGACCTGGAATATGGCAGAATTTTGGTAATCCATTCAAAACTAAGTAGAAATGGAGATATTTATTGACAAGTGACCATTGACAGAGGCCTGATAAAAAAATCTCATTGAAAAGAGGTGAAAATGTAAGGCACTGAGGTTTGTGGGTTTGGAGGTACAGATATAAATGCATACACACAAATAATATAATTTTTTAATTTTATTTTTTTTTTAAAGAGAGATCTGTGAGTATTTTGTGGCTCTCCATGTCTGGGAGACAAGCTCATTTGTTCTCCTATTTGGCTCAGATTGCTAAGGGCAAGATGAGGCGAAACAACCAATTCTGTAGCTTCTTCAAAAGTGTGTGTTCACCTCACCCTGTCCCTTAATGGACTGGTACAAAGATTCAATCTTCTGTTCTTGTGCACAGTATCAGTGATAAATGGCATGTTAAAGCCTGGAGATAAATATCCTTGGCTGTTGCAGAATCCCTTTAGGGGAAAGGGGGCTTGTCCGTCTTTCTCTTAAATCCTTCCCAGTTTTGCAAAATACTGAATTAAACCCAATGATTGTGCAATTAGGATTGCCTCCCCTTAGGAGGTTTGCTGCTTGAAACGCTTGTGTTGTCCTGTGGCCTTCCCTCCGCAGGTCTGACGTGGGAGGAATGTAAGCAGCGCTGTCCTCCAAACGTGGTGCCAGCCTGTCACAATTCTGAGGACACTGTCACTGTTTCGGGGCCTCTGGTGAGCAAGGAACTGTTATGGTGATACCATCGTTGTGATTTGGACTCAAAGCTCTGTTTGGAAGAAAGTGTAAAGCTGAGCTAAAGCTCAGCCTCTTGCAGAGGGGAGCTGGATTAAAGTGGTGGGATGGAACATGATGCTCTGCATAAACTTAAACACTCAAATGTTCTGTGTGAGAAGGTGACGGTGGTGCCTCAGTAAGCTAGTGACAAAAGATGTTTTATGCTGAATAGTCTTACAGCCATGAGTATAACAAGGAGTAAATTACAAGTTTGAGAAGGGCAATAACATTATCCCAGATATGGCTTCCTTTAAGTGGCAAGGGATGAAGGATGTTGAGGGGGTACAGTGACTCATACAGATCCCAAATATGTTGTGAGCTCTTATTTTTAGCTCATTGATATTCCTCTTCTTAGGACTCTGTGAATGAATTTGTAGCCAAACTGAAAAAGGATGGTGTGTTTGCAAAGGAGGTGCGCAGTGCTGGAGTTGCATTTCATTCCTACTACATGGCATCTATTGGACCAGTGCTGCTCAGTGCCCTGAAAAAGGTAATATTGCCAAACTGTGGCTCTTGTGGCTTGCACATGGGCGCCTGGATTTGAGTATAGGTGATGCTGAGCTTAAAGACATTCCTTTCTCTAGGAGGAGGAGGAAATCTCTTGAAGAGCACATAGACTTCTGTGACACTTAAGGTTTGAAGTCCTATGGCCTTAAGCAGAAGGATGTCCTGAGCAATCAAGCTGAGAAAAATGGCTTGTGAAAACGAGGGGCTGCTTGCTTTTGCCTGTCTTATTGCTGTTCTGTGATGTGTAACTATTCCTCCTGTCCCTCTTCCTTATCTGTCTGTAGGTTATTCCACACCCTAAACCTCGTTCGGCACGATGGATTAGTACCTCAATCCCTGAATCTCAGTGGCAGAGTGAACTAGCTAGGAATTCTTCTGCAGAATATTATGTGAACAACCTGGTGAACCCAGTGCTGTTCCGTGAAGGTCTAATGCATATTCCAGAGAACGCTGTTGTAGTAGAGATTGCTCCACATGCTCTCTTACAGGTACTGTGTGTGATCGTGTCAGTAGGATGGTATATTGATATGCTGCTGCAGGAAGGAGGCTGAGGGCCTGAGGACCAGGGAATACTGGGGTTTTTTTGTTGGTGTTCATAGATCTCAGAACACTTTATTCCTCCAGTACTTTTGAGTCTCCCAGTTTTAACATTTTCTTGATGGGTTTTCTTGTGGGAGCTCTGGTGTGATTTATTTTTTGTTGTTTGGTTTGGGGGTTTTTGTGATGATGTTGTTTGGTTTTGTTTTTAAGTATTAACATATAACAACCCCCCAAAAAGCCCACAAGACAAATCCCAACACACTACCACCTCCCCTTCCAGAAATTCACATTGTTATTGTTGCATTTACTTATTGCCATACATTTCAGATAGCAGAGAGTTAGCTCTCTGAACTGTGCAATGAGTAAGAAAAGCATTTAATTGTTTGGATCTAATGGAGAGCGTGTGAAACTTGGGGCTGGGGAAGAAACTCGAGAGTAGCAGGCCTTCTCTGTGGGGAAAAAACCTGCTGTCACTGTCCATACACTGAAACGGGTTTGAGCTTCTTGTCTGGGAAGATGATAGCTGGTAGTGGTGTTTTCCCCTCTTCTCCTAGACCAAGGAGTCTTGAGACCACAGGTGCTTGCCTTCTCCATAAACTACTTTCTCCTAATGATGAGATCATTAGTCCTTGCTCTCCACTCTGTAAAAACTGATCTTTGTATCAGTAGTAGAGGATGCAGAACACGAGGTACATTAGGATGCACTTGCTCCACAAGATCAGTGCTGTGGTTTTGTGCTTGTCCATTAAGTCTCAAGGACTGTTTGTTTTTTTTCACTTGGCCTGTGGCTTGAAAGAGGAGAATAGTCTTTAGAAGGATCACAGTTACTTGTGAATCAAGCTTAATAGTGGTACAGTGCTCCTGAGTTCCAATCCAGTGTATATTTATTACATCATGTTAGTCTTATTTGTGCTTTGAAAGTGACTTGAAAGGAGAATCAGACCAGAGCTTTTAAATTGGGCAGATCCTTATCTCTGTGAAAAGGTTATACATTTCATTTTAGAATCATTGGAGAAATCTGGACTCTAATGCAAGTGACTAAAGACTTCATCAGCTGGATTTAAGATTGTTCTGATTTTTTTCTTTCCATTCCTCCCTTCTCCCATGGGACAGATGTTCAAGGAAGCATTTTTTCATTTAATAGCTGTTGCTTGGAAAGTGCTCTCAGATGCTTCAGACTGAAGGCCTGCTCCTGGGAGCAAGCCTAAACTGTGCATGGTGTGCGTGTGCAAGTGGGAGGCTTGAGAGGGTGATCTTGCAGCTCTTGAAGTGCAGCTTTTGATTCCACTTAATTGCTGGGAAAAAGGAGATTTGTTTTGGCAGAATGTAATGAATATTACATAGGTTCTGCTTTACCAAATGTGCCTCCTCTTGGGTTGCTGGAAGGATGCTGTGCTGCTCTTCCTCCTCCCTGTTAAGTGCTGTTCATTCTAGCTGCTAGCACAAACCTCTTGTCACTGTAACAGATAGAAAAATAATAAATTCAGAGTAGGAAGTAATGCCTTCTACCAGTGATTTATGGACTCTGTTTGACCAGGCTATCTTGAGGAGAACTTTGAAACCAACTTGCACCATTCTACCTTTGATGAAGAAAGAGCAGAAAAATAATTTGGAGTTCTTCCTAACACAGATTGGAAAGATTCATTTAACTGGGTAAGGAGACTAAGGGAGGAAGGTGAGTGGGATATCAGTTAGGAGAGAATTCTAGTCTCTTCTCTAGCACGTGTGTCTTCACAAAGATTGAAGTATCTATTCAACAAATCTGGAAAAAATAAGTGTTACGTCTATGCTTCATGTATTTAACATGCTCACTTATGAAATGTTGCCTTGGGTTGGTGACTGCTTGGGCTGGGAAGGTGCCTTTTAAAAAGGAGTCCCATTTTAGAGGCCTAGGAACCAGGAACTAGCTCTTGGATATAAACTCTGCATCTTGTAGACTGTTAGAATTACAAGTTTGGCTGCAGTAAGTGTTCAGGGTACTCCTGGAGAAATCTTAAGACCTGGAGCTGAAGGCAAATTACTGTCTGACCTCTAAGTATTATGGTCAATTCCACCACCCCCCCACCTTGCATTATCTTGATCCTTTTTATGTTTCTAGGTTAAATGTTCTTGGAAATAACTTGTTCCCAGCTGTGGAATACCCTGTCCCAGTGGGAACACCCCTTATTTCTCCATACATCAAATGGGACCACAGCCAGGAATGGGATGTTAAAAAAGGTGAAGACTTTGCAGCAGGTTCCAAAGGCTCTGCAGCTGCTTCAGTCTACAACATCGGTGTGTTTGCCCCTTTGGGTTTTTCTGTTTGTCTCTTTCCTGCTTTAGCTCTGCATTTCCCTTGTAAAACTAGGAAAAGGATACTCAAAGAAGCATCCTTGAAGGCTTCTTCTGAAGGTTAATGTTTGGTTTGGTTTGGTTTAAATTGAAAAAAGGCCAGATTTGCTTCTGAAAAAGGGGGTGAAGGAATATGAACAGAGCAGGAAATTTTGATTCTGACTTACATAGTTTTAAGAGCTGTGTATTGCCAGGCAGGATAGTTTGAGAAACCACTAGAATCTTAGACATTGAGAAGACCTCTTCACTAGGGTGTTTTTGTTGATTTTATTCTGCTCTTTATTCTTTGACAGATGTAAGTCCTGGCTCTCCTGACCATTACTTAGTTGGTCATTGCATTGATGGCAGAGTCCTGTACCCAGCAACTGGGTACCTGGTACTGGCTTGGCAAACTCTGGCACGGTCTCTTGGGGTGGTCATGGAGCAAATGGCTGTTATGTTTGAAGAAGTCACAATTCATCAGGCAACTATCCTTCCCAAAACAGGTGTGTGAGGAATGCTGCTACAAATACAAAACTGTAATGGAGTTGGAGGAAGTGGGAGGAAAGAAGTGCAAGGGGAAAGAGCGGAGGAGCACAAGAGAGAGAGTGCAATGTGACTGGGCAAAGAAGTGAATTGATACAGTCAAGTAGCACATGTTAGGATCATCTTTATTACATGTCGTGTGCAGTGAGCCTGGAGATAGTGAAAGAGAAAGCTCTGCTTGAAAATGGTAGTGATGAATGACCTCACCATACTGTCTTCCTCCATATTTACTGCAGGATCAGTGAAGCTGGAAGTAAGACTCATGCCTGCTTCCCGCTGCTTTGAGGTGTCAGGGAATGGGAATCTGGCTGTGAGTGGTAAGTGGAGGTAGTGTTAAGTGTATACACTTACTAAAACCCATTGTTTATGGACTCTGATGATTCTGATTCTTGCCATTGTGCCCATCAGGGAAGATCTCCGTCCTAGAAAACACTGCTCTGAAGAATTTGCACAGCCAGCCAGTTGACTTTCAGGCTGAAGAAGATGTGAGCCCAAAGTCTGGCCTCTTGAAAGAAGACATTTACCAAGAGCTGCATCTGCGTGGATATAATTATGGACCAACTTTTCAGGGCCTTCTGGAATGCAGCAGTGAAGGTGAGTTTACCTTCTATAGAAAAATGATGAGCATGATTATTGTAATGGTGAATATTTGATCGTTCAATTCCATTGATATTAACAGTCCACTGGGCTGTGCTTTTTGTGGTAGTTTACTTTGTGTGATAATAGAGAACAACTAAGAGTTCTGTCAGAGCAGTGGGAAAGCTGCTGTCTCCAATGTAGTAACTGCAGTGTAACTCCAGCGACAGCTGGAGTGTACGAGGGAAGCTGGGCGCATACAGCAGGCGTTACATCCGATAAGCAACGACTTCTGGCATCTACTGAATGACAAAATCACAGTGAAGCTTCCCCTTCCTCTTCTCCTGCAGGAAGCACAGGGAAAGTTCTGTGGAATGGGAACTGGGTGACCTTCCTGGACACCCTGCTCCACGTGATAATCCTGGGGGAGGCGGAGCGCAGCCTGCGCCTGCCGACGCGGATCCGCGGGGTGTGGATCGACCCCGTGCTGCACCAGCAGCGCCTGTGCCGCCGGGACGGCCTGCAGGGTAAGGTCTCTGGGGTGCTCCAGGCTACCCTTCTCTAACAGCCTGATACAGGGCTTCATCTGATCACCTGGAATAAAATACTGGTAGTGTTTGATGCAAACTTCTGTTGCTTTCCTGTCTTTCAGCTGTTGATGTTGTTCTAGACCGCTGTCTAAACAGTGTTAAAGCAGGAGGTGTTCAGATCAGTGGTCTTCATGCCTCTGTGGCACCACGACGACAACAGGAACGGATCCCTCCCACCCTGGAAAAATTCTGCTTTGTGCCCTATACTGAGACTGACTGTTTGTCTTCCAGTGTGCATCTTCATGTCTATCTGGAGCACTGCAAAGGTAAAGTGGGACTGGTTTGTCATCATACTACTGGAATGTTTCAGCATGACAGAAATGTCTGAGAGAAATATCTGCATTGTCCAAATACTGTCCCCAAGGTTTTTTACATATGCTGCAGTAGGAACTTTTTCTTTTTTTTGTAATTACTTCTGATCTCAGTCAGGATGAGCTCTTTTCCATCTGGTTATAAAGCCAAAAAAAAAAAATTTTAGTATTTTTTATATCTGTAGAAATTTACCATTTCCCTTCCAAACTCCCTAGATCAGTCAGCAGTTTTCTGTTGGTTACCCTCTTAGTCTTGCCACATGTAATCTTGGTGGTTTAGACTGCTTTGCCACAAAGCCTACTTGTTTGGGGGCTACAGCTCCACTACACTACGTGATGGTGAACATACAGGAGTGTGCACTATGTCTCTGTGGCTAGGCTAATGATACAAGATGCTATTATTCGTGGTGCTGACCAGCTGGTATGGCTAATGGAGGCAAAGAGGAAAAGAAATGTTTTTAGAAAGCCTCCCTCTTCCTTTCATTTTTCCTTCTATTCCATAGAACTGATGGAGAACTTACAGGCTAAGGTGGCAGTGCATGGGGTCAAATTAAACATCCCTGGACTAGAAAATGCAGTGGCTGCCACAGAGTCCTTACCCGTACAGAAGGGCCTTCAGCACATCCTTGCTGAAGTGTGCAATCTGGAACTGAATGGAAACTTCTATTCTGAGCTGGAACAGATTGTGACTCGAGAGAAGATGCACTTCCATGAGGACCCTCTTCTCAATGGGTTGCTAGATTCTTCAGAGTTGAAGACTTGCCTGGATGTGGCACTGGAGAACATGATCAGTCACAGGATGAAGATAGTAGAGGTTAGCTGGAAGCCTGGAGTGGGACTATGGCTAATGTTGCTAGGCCTTCCAGTAACCAAATCACATACTTTCATTGTTCCAGTTATAATTCTAGATATCATTCATGTTTCAACATGGTTTCCCCTTTTATTTCCTCTTCTTTTCTCACAGGCTCTTGCAGGAAGTGGACGTCTGTTCTCTCGTGTCAGAAGCACTCTGAACACTCAGCCCCTGTTGCAGGTGGAATACATTGCCACTGACAGCGTTCTGAAAGCTCTTGCAGCTAATGAAACAGAGCTACAAGATGCTGGGGTTTCCTCTGGCCAGTGGGATCCATCTAGCCTTCCCTCTGGAAATCTGACCAATGCAGACCTGGTGGTATACAACTGTTCAACAAGTGTTCTAGTGAATAACACGGAAATTCTCCCTAATTTGGCAGCTGCAGTGAAAGAAGGAGGGTTTGTTTTGCTACACACTCTTATTAAAGGAGAAACTCTCTCAGAAATTGTCAGTTTCCTTACAAGTCCAGATCTCCAGAAGAAACGTGGCTTCCTGAGTGAGGTAAGCCTCCTGCAAGGACAAATACTTTCTCAGCTGGTAGTCTGGAATCTGCTGCTTGCAGACGCTTTCGTGGTGAATGTTGAGTAGACATCACTTGCATCACTTGCCACTGAGACCATCTGCAGGAATAGTCAGGAGAGAAGAGTTGTGAATTTCCATGTTGAGTTTGGAGAGTACTCTTACTCATTGTCATTTGTATATGTATGTAATGTGTATGAAAACACTGGCCAGGACAATTCCTTTATAGCTAAAATAATGTGCTGTATTGTTAGATGGGGAACAGCTTTATCACTGTAGGATCCTAAAAAGCTTTGGTATCAAAATAGCTCTCTTCTTTTTGATCCCGCTGCTGGGAGTGCGACTTTGCAAAGCAGTTAACTTCTTTTGATGATGAAGTGCTACCAGAAGGGAAGGCTTTTCTGTCTTCCTTTTTTTCTTCCTCCTTCCTTCCTTTCTCCACTTTATCTGATCCCATCATGAGACACAGCAGAGTAAGCCCCTGGAAGGCAGGGGAGGGCAGGGTGTCTGCTCTATATCTGCAAGCCAGTATGTCATGCAGATGAACTGATGCCGGTGCTGGTACAAGAGGAGGAGAGTGAGTGGCTGGGGAAAGGGTGGGAACTGGGACATAACCTTCTCTTGGCAGCTGTTAAACTAAGCACTTAACTGCTTAGAAACTGCCCTTCCACAGAACGTATGTATACTTCCTGATTCAAGGGGCTGTAGCCTCTTTCCTCTCCTCTGAGAAGAAAGTAGCATTTCTAACAGTCCAACTTATTTACAATTCTGGAGTTGGATTTTGAATGGCAGTGACATGAAGTGCCAGAATTCACTTTCAGCAAAGATTTTTCAAGGAGATTTGAGAAGAAAGGGTGAATTCTTTGGCTTTGCATCCTATCCAGTAAAGAGAAGGCTAGAAAGAAGACTGAGATGCTACTGAAGGTGCTAACTTACCTGGATCTGCCATGAGTGTCAATAGCCTGGTATTAGCAAATCTCTTGGATAAGATACATGTGAGTTGAATACACCTTTTTCTAAAGAGAACAATACAATGCAGGGCAGATTGGGCAGGGCTTAATACAGTTCTTAAAGTTTTCTGAATAGGGACATTGTCCCTAGTCCTTGATATAAGGGATCATGCTGTAAAACAACTTCCACTATTTTGAGCCTGGCATATGAAAAGCAGACGGCTGCTTTTCTAAGAGCCTGGAGTCCTCTTTATTCTATTCAGATAGTAGAGTCGTGGTGTTTCTGGACAGGCCATACATGCATTTTCATTCTCTTTATTTTCTGAAATGCTATTTCAGTGTAATGCTACATTTACAGGTGCTTCTTCCCTCTTAGTGGTTGGTGGCTTCTCCTCACCCTTGTGTAGCTGAAGGATTTGAGTCACTTTGTTTCTCACATTTCTTCTCTCCTGCTTTACTTTCTCTGTTGCAGACAGGGCTTATGTGAGGTAGACAAGTAACATCTAAACTCAGTGTTTCCACTGTTGGTTTTTTTTTTCTGTTGGAATCTGTACATTGTGTTTGTCTGTGGAGATGTGCCTGACTTCTGGAATTAAAATCTATACATGCTCAAATATCCTGAGATTTGACAACATGGTTACTGCTCTGTTTTTTGGACACCCACTGGTGTGGTAAGACTAGTTGCCTAACCAAGGCTTTGAGATAATTGTACTACTACTTTCTGAGGATGTTTTAGGGAAGGAGTAGTCTAGATGTGGGTAAAGTACTGTGATGTTATATGTATTTGTACTGAGACAGTACAGAACAGTTAAGATTTCAAGCAAAAGCAAGAAAGAGGTGGACAGTGGCTCTTGTTCCTGGTGAAGCTGTCTTTGAGAAGACTTAACGTGAACTATGGATGTGGCTTTTATTTGTAATTAACATTTGACTTCCCTGTTAATTGCTGTTTTACCTGATTTGACAGGCACAGTGGCAGGCCTTATTCAGCAAAGCCTCACTGAGTCTGGTTGCCATGAAGAAATCGTTCTTTGGCTCAGTTATCTTCCTGTGTCGCAGGCAAGCCCCTGCCAAAACACCCATTTTTATGCCGATAGACGAGACCCATTTTAAGTGGGTTGAATCCTTGAAGGTAAGAATTCCTTTGTGCTGGATATCTGAATTTCTGAGTCATTACACTGGCTGAATGAGATATTTAGCAGTGTTAAAAGAAAGGGGGGTGTCTGTATGTTAGTTTGGTTAAAATAGAAGTTATTTATCTCTCTGCCTTAAGGACACAAGGACTATTTCTGTGGTTTCTGGTAAAAGTGTTTGGGTTTTGTCTTGTAGGAGGTCTTGGCTGACCAATCGGAGCAGCCTGTGTGGTTGACTGCCACCAGTTGTGCAAACTCAGGAATTTTGGGAATGGTGAACTGCCTCCGCCTGGAAGCAGAAGGCCACAGAATCAGGTTTGTAAGCAAGCCCTTGAGTCACAGTTGGAGATGAGGTATTTTTGCATTAGTTTCTTTTCAGGCCTGTAACAAAACAACTGTAATATCAACTCTTGGCTTCCAGGTGTGTGTTCATTTCCAACCTGAACCCTTCATCAGCTGTCCCACCCACAAGTCTTTCTTCCCTGGAGATGCAGAAGATTGTTCAGAGCGACCTGGTGATGAATGTGTATCGTGATGGAAAGTGGGGCTCCTTCAGGCATCTCCCATTGCAGCAAGGTAACTCCTTTGTCTGAGGACCACTTGCAGAGCCCTGAGTCTGAATGGACTTTGAATAGAAATAAGAAGAGCCATTGTTCCTGGAATTATTTTTTACTATAATTATTTTAATGGATAATTTGGAATTCTTCTGCTCCAGCTCAAAGTAAACAGGAAGAGGGCTGAGCTACTCAGGGCATGGGTAGTAGTTTCAGGGTTAGAATGGGCTTTCTGGAGAGCAAATGGAACAGGTGGTAGCAGTTCCACAAGGACTTGACTCGGTCTGGAGGGCACGTGCCCGTGCTAATGGAAGTTCTGCCTCCCCTGCAGCCCAGCCCGAGGAGCTGACGGAGTACGCCTACGTGAACGCGCTGACGCGCGGGGACCTCTCCTCCCTGCGCTGGCTCGCGTCCCCCCTGCGGCACTTCCGCGCCTCGCCCGGCCTGCAGCTCTGCAGGGTCTGCTACGCCTCCCTCAACTTCAGGGACATCATGCTGGCCACGGGAAAGCTCTCCCCGGACGCCATCCCCGGTGAGCTGAGGTCACGCTGCAGGAGAGGGGACTTGGGTAGTGCTGTCCTCCAGGTTATCTGCGTAATCTCTGGAGTGCTGGTTATCCACTGAAGTGTGTCGGTGTGTGTTTAGCCAGACAGCGTTTGCTGGACAGGAAGGATAGCCCCGCTGCAGGGCCGCACGCCCAAAACTCCTGCCTCTGCTTCCAGCTGCAATATCGTTCTTCACGTGACAAAATAAACCTTGTTGTGAGAACATCACTAGTCCCCATGCGTAGATATCAAATGTGAGGTGAAACAATTTGCTGGAGACTCCAGAGGTGGGCAAGGTATATTTTAAAGGTGAGAATGTTGAATTTTCATGCGGCTGTGCTCCTGGATATGCTTTGCTTTTAGGGAAGAAAAATGCTAGGTGAAGTAATCTGTTTAGAAAAATGGAGGTGCTAACTGACTACAAAGCAAGACATTAAAAATTAATGTAATGTCTATTAAATGATTATAAAGTTCCCCTCAAAGGAGAGGGGACAGAACATGTAAAAAGTGCATTTAGAGATCCTTAAAGGTGACTTTATTAGGGCTGGATTTCCCCTCATAGTTGAGATAGGTCGCTGCCTAAAACATGTGCTTGCCAAAATTAAGGCTTCACAGTATATTTTTGCTGTGATCATCCTTTCTAGCTTATGCATCATTCTTCTTCAAAGAGAAACAAAATTGCCTCTGAAACAAGGTGTTTTCAATAAATTCCTCAGATGAAAACGGGGAACTAAAGCAATATCATTGAGGATAACGAGTAAGATTTAAAGAGACCAAGTCCTTTTCTGATATTCTTCTAAGAAATTAACTATGGTGACTTGTGAACTGTGTACATAGTAGATAAATCCCAGCACTACTTCTGTTTCTGGAGTTGTGACTTTCAGGGACTACTGTTGTAGTAAACTTTTAACCAAGGGATTTTACGAGATAAATTCCCTTTGTAAAAGATGCTAACATTCTTTTAGGTAACTGGGTGTCACAGCAGTGCATGCTGGGCATGGAGTTCTCTGGACGAGACCTGGCTGGAAGAAGGGTGATGGGACTGCTACCAGCCAAGGGTCTGGCTACAGTTGTAGACTGTCACAAGAGGTTTCTATGGGAGGTGCCTGAAAACTGGTAGGTCAACTTCTGTTTTCTGGTTTAAGACTTGCCTTCCTGTCTGAGGCTGTTGAGAGGCTTGATCAGATCAGAGTATTGCACAATGGGTAGATTCCCCTCTGGGAAATAAGAGCTAGAGCCTCCTGAGCAGATGTAGGACTGGGCTTAGACTCAGTGCAGGGTTTGAGTGCTGGTTTCTGCCTAGTGTGTTGCACATCTCTTTCTGGGCTCTTAGCATCATGTCTTTCAGCATACACTGGGATATCAGTGTTGGTTATGTTGCTGGTTAGTTACTGAAATACTCTTGCAGAAGGATGAAGCTCTGTGCTGTGCTTGGCTGCTGTGGTACTCTTCTGTGATTGACAGCTATTTATACTTCTTGGTCTATCTCAGCAGTTTAACCTTTCCACTGCAGGAAAGCAAATTTCATCAGGAGAATCTAGCAGTCTTTTCCAAGCTCTCTTTCCCTTTGCTTCTTAGGACCCTGGAAGAGGCGGCGTCGGTGCCTGTGGTCTACGCCACTGCGTACTACGCGCTGGTGGTGCGAGGGGGTATCAGGAGGGGCGAGAGCATCCTCGTGCACTCTGGCTCAGGAGGTGTGGGCCAGGCAGCCATTGCCATTGCCCTGAGCATGGGCTGCAGAGTCTTTGCTACTGTGGGTGAGTGCTGAGGCCCATGGTTAAGGTTGGGAACAACATATCATGTTTTAAAATGTATAATAAATAGAAGGAATGTGTACATGCACACAAGTGTTTATTTTACATAAAGATACATATTTATGTGTGTACTTTTTTTCCCCCAGTATGATCTCCTGTAATTTTGATCCAGTTTCTAGAACAGATATATGGCAAAAGAGCTACCAACTGTGCATTTGAAACTTCCACAGCACAGACAAATTTATCCATTTCTGTACACTATATAATGAAAAGCGTGGAAGAAAATCAATTAAATTCAGTAGCATGATCAAAGAAAGTCTATTCATTGTAAAGGCTTGGTCTGTTTCTGGTCCTTCCTCTACCTCATAATTGAGCAGTAACAATTAGACAGGCTTTGTCCTAAGGTTTGACACTTTGAGAGCCTGAGAGATTTGAAGCAAGTGCTTGATGGCTGCTCAGATTTATAGTCCTTGGGAATAGATGTGCAGATGAAAATGGGCTGTTTCATCATAAAAAACAGTGTAATTCAAATTATCTTCTAATTCCAGGTTCCACTGAGAAACGTGAATATCTCCAAGCAAGGTTCCCACAGCTGGATGCTAACAGCTTTGCCAGCTCCCGAAGTACTGCCTTTGAGGAACACGTTCTGCGAGTTACCAACGGAAAAGGCAAGTTCCAGGAATGCTTTTCCTTCTTTTGTCAGCTGTGCAGCATTATGCAGTTGTACTTGCTAAAGTCAAAATGAATCACTAGAGAACAGGGTTAGGCTCTCATAGAATGTCAGGGATTGGAAGGGACCTCTAGAGATCATCTAGTCCAGCCCCCTGCCAAAGCAGCATCACCCAGGGCCAGTCACACAGGAGCTCATGCAGAGGGTTTTGAAAGTCTCCAGAGAAGGAGACTCTGCAGCCTCTCTGGGCAGCTTGTTCCAGTGCTCCATCACCCTCACAGGAAAGAAGCTTCTCCTCATGTTGAGGTGGAACTTCGGATGTTCTACCTTATGCCCGTTATTCCTTGTCCTATTACTGAGCACCACCAAAAACAGCCTGTCCCCCTCCTCTCAACACCCACTCCTCAGCTATTTATGGACATTAATAAGATCCCCTCTCCTTCTCTTCTCAAGACTATAAACAGTCCCAGTTCTCTCAGTCTTTCTTCAGAGGAGAGATGTTCAAGTCACTTAATCATCCTCCTAGCTCTCTGTTGAACCATCTCCAGTAGATTCCTGTCCTTCTTGAACTTGGGAGCCCAAAACAATACAGTATTCCAGGTGAGGTCTCACCAGGGCAGACTAGAGGGGGAAGAGAACCTCCCTAGAGCTGCTGGACACACTTTTATTAATGTGCACCAGGATACCATTGTCCCTCCTGGCCCCAGGGGCACACTGCTGTCCCATGGATAACTTCGTGTCCCCTAGGACTCCAAAGCCTTTCTCCATGGAGCTGCAGTCCAGCTGGACAACCCCATCCCTGTACTGGTAGCTGCTGTTGTTCCTCCCCAGCTGCAGGACTCTATACTTGTCCTTATTGAACTTCACAAGGTTTACCTTCACCCGGCTCCCTCACCTGTCTAGGTCTCCTTGGATAGCAGCAGAGCCTTCAAGCTGAATTTATTAAATGGTTGCTTCTCCCTCTGTTGCAGGTGTCGACCTTGTGTTAAACTCCTTGGCAGAGGAGAAGCTCCAAGCCAGTTTGCGCTGTCTTGCTCGACACGGACGCTTCTTGGAAATAGGCAAATTTGATTTGTCTAACAACAGTCAGCTTGGTAAGATGGGGCACTGGGAAGTATGTGTCATTAGGTTTAAGCAAGCATGACATCACAACATAGATACTATCTGAAAACAGACTAATCATCAAATCTGTAAAAGGTTTTAGCTAGAGTATTTATTTCACTTTTATCACTAACAATTTATGTGGTCTTCTCAACAAATGCCTTCCTGGAGGAACATGGTACTCAACGGTTTTCTGGAAGCTTGCGTAAAACACGCAAAATTATCTTTCTTGAATCAGTATCTTCCTTAAAATCAGTATAGGATCTTCCAAAGTTTTTTGGATAGGAAGGTAGTAAGAAGCAGCATTCATTTCACTTGGCACTGTTCACCACTGTGTCTGTTGGCTTGTAGATTTCATAGATCTGTTGCTCTTGACTTAGAAGTTTTCTGGGATGTGCAGGTGTCTACCTGTTTGCAATAGAGGAGTACACTGTAAAAATTGGCAAATGAAGTTCATAGCTATAGAAGCTGCAGTTCTGCCCTGTGATCCAGGTAAACTTGATCGTTTGTAGAGTATTGATAATTGTAGTATTTCAGGTAACTACACAGAGCCTGATCTTGAGAGTACCCTAATTGTTTTTTTCACGAATATCTGTGCCCTCTTAAATAGGATATGGTAGCTCCATTCAGAAGGGACTCACAACAGTCATCAAGTCTTAACTGCCTGACCACTTCAATGCTGACCAAAAATTAAAACATTATTTAAGAGCATTTTCTAAATGCCTCTCAAACACAGACAGGTACCTCCCTAAAACAACCCCTCTAGGAAGTCTGTTCCAGTAGAAGTGTTTCCTAATGTGCAGTCTGAACCTCCTCTGGTGCAGCCTCGAGCCATTCCCAGGTGTCCTGTCACTGGATCCCAGGGAGCACCTCCCTCTCCACATCCTCTCCTCAGAAAGCTGCAGAGAGCAGTGAGGTCACCCCTCAGCCTCCTGTGCTCTGAACTACACAAACCTAAAGTCTTTAGCCACTCCCCACAGTACACTCCTTCCAGCCCTTCAGCAGCTAGGTTGCCTTCCTCTGGATGCATTCAAGTCCCTTCACATCCTTTGAAAATTGAGGGGTCCAGAACTGCATGCAGTACTCAAGGTGAGGCTGCTCCAGTGGTAGGTACAGTGGGACAGTCCCTCCTGATCATCTGATTCTGCTGTGTTTAATATACCCCAGGGTGCAGTTTACCTTCAGGTGTCAGGGCATGGTGCTGGCTCCTGAGCCTGATGTCAGCCAGCAGCCCCAGGTCCCTTTCTGCAGGGCTGCTTTCTCTTCACTCCTCTCCCAGTTTATACTTGTGCCTGGAATTACTCAGTATAAGGTGCGGAATTTGGCATTTGTTTTTGCTGACTTTCATGTCATTGATTGCCCAACGTTCTAGTGTATCCAGACTTACCTGGGAGGCTTCTTGTCCCTCAAAAGAGTCGACAGCATCTCCCAGTTATTGATGGCATTGGGGCTAGATTAACCCGATTTCTCTTGGATGGGAAAACAAATTCAACTTGTTGTGATGTGCTGTGTTAGTCAAAAATAACAAGAGTATTCATGTGTTGTAGAATGACTGCATATAGCAAGTGTTGACTGTCTCCTTCCTTATTCTAATTAAATCTCCGAAGATCCTGGCATCATGGAAAACTTGCTGTGAGCAAGAGTTTCCTGTAGAAGTGGACAGGATGTACATGGGATCATTTCTCCCTCCTCTGTGTGTCTAATTCAGCTGTCACTAGACACGAAATGTCTTTCAGTATCAGACTATGTTGTGGTCTGTCCTCTTGTCACACAATTTTTGTGAGTGGCGTTTCTTTCAAACTAGTCTGCTTGTAGGAGAACAAACTAATTAATATACCATGTACAGAGTATATGCAAGAATGAATTTGGAAAATGTAGAATTCTAGCAACTAATAACTGCCTTAGTCTTCAGTCTTACACTAATGACCTACAAAGAAATGTTTCTGAAGCAGAAGACAGTCTGTTGTGAAATGTCATAATCATCAGGCCATAACCAAGTTGCTTTTTCTAGGAATGTCTCTCTTCCTCAAGAACGTGGCATTTCATGGGATACTGCTAGATGCAGTCTTTGAGGACGGGAACAAAGAGTGGGAAGTAGTATCAGAGTTGTTGAAGAAAGGCATAAAAGATGGTGTAGTAAAGCCTCTGAGGACTACAGTCTTCAACAAAGATGAGGTAGAAGCTGCCTTCAGGTTCATGGCCCAAGGAAAACACATTGGCAAAGTTATGATCAAGGTAATGAGATAATGACTTTTCTCTGATGCATCTTTCATCCTGTGTAGGTGACTATAGTGGATGTAGTTCAAGCTGAAGTTGTATAACTTGGACAGCATCTGGTTGTTTGTTTTACTGCTGGCATTGGAATGAATGTAACAGTCAAGTCTGGCACTGATCCTATAAGATTCATTCCCATTAACTGGAGGAGCATAGCATGGAAAGGTAAGAAATGCATTGGGTAGCCAATATTAATTGTCTTTTTCCTTTTTTTTTTTTTTTTTCCTTTTGGGGTGGAAAGGTCCAAGAAGAGGAAAAGGAATCTCCTTTGAGAAGGTCTGAACCAGTTAAGATCTCTGCCATCTCCCAAACCTCCTGTCCACCTACCAAGTCCTACATCATCACAGGGGGCCTAGGAGGATTTGGGCTTGAGCTGGCACAGTGGCTAGTTGAGAGAGGAGCAAAGAAGCTTATACTGACATCTCGTTCTGGCATACGAACTGGTAAGCAAAAGTCACAAAGGAAGAAGGGGCATGACTGCCTTTTATTTTCTCCCATTTTCTCCCTTGCCCAGGATTTCTGCAGCCTGGCTTTTTTTCCCTTCACCCCCTCTCCAAAGTCTGCATCAGGCTGCCTCACTGACTTGTCCATGGTCATGGCACAACACATGCCACAAGGGCAAGGCCTATAAGCTCTTGCTAAATATACTCTGTCCCTCAAGTCAAATGTGTGGCTTGTTCTTGCTCCTTCAGATAGCTCATCTGCAGAGATCTGCCCTACTATCTGATAACATCAATAAGCATTTTTACTCTGTTTTAAGCCATTGGTTTGATTACAATCACAGCACTGAGATTTCTTATCAGTGGTAGTCTTCAGTGTTTCCTCATACAAATTCAGTCATAACAGAATTTCACTGTCTCTAGAGATTTATTCTTTCTATTGTCAACTTCACAATTGCACTACTTGTGCAAAAAGATAGATCAAATACTTCTACTTCTCAGGTTCTGGTTGTGCTACTATGATCTGTTGCTTTACTCTAATCTTAGCTATTTCCTGTGCCAGCACTGAAATTCTCATGAAGCTGATTTCCCTCTACTGTTGTGCTTGTACTTTTTCTTTTTTTCCTCCCCCACCAACTCTGTTCTCCACTTTGACCTATTTAGAACATTTCTGATACTCAAGTGATTTCTATCTACTCTTCAAGTTTTATCCAGTTTTCCTCTTGTAGCTGAATCAGGAATTATTAAGCTATTCAGTCCCTATCTAGTCAGAAAAGAGTTAAGGAGCAATTTAACCAAAGCTGTATGGTTTGAATGCTGCATGCCAGGCACTCCTCACATTCATTTTTTGTAGGTTACCAGGCTAAACGTGTTAGAGAGTGGAAGGCACTGGGAATTGAAGTGCTGGTATCTACCAGTGATATTGGAACACTAGAAGGAACACAGCTGTTGATAGAAGAAGCTTTGCGGCTTGGCCCAGTTGGAGGCATCTTTAATTTGGCTGTGGTAAGTGACAAAAATCCTTGGGACTCCTAAGAGGCAGCAGCCATTCAAGTAGCTTCTTTTACTGAGGGCAGTCGGGCTTTGTACTGTTTTAGATTGCTGTGCTGCCTTTCAAAGGACACTTTGCTTTAGCCTTACCTGGTGACTAAAGGTTTACAGGTCTGGCCCCTTGACCTGGGAAGCAACAGTATTTGGCCAGCAAGCTCAATTCTGGGGTAAGATGAAAGCTACCCAAAATCCTTGGGGACAAGAAAAATCCCATATGGAGCTTGCCAGTTGAAGGTTGCAGTGGCAGTACTAGAAAAAGCAGACTTGCCAAAGGCCATGTTTTCTTTGTCAGATTTCAGAACATTCAGGATATGTCTATACTGTAAAGATACTGAAATGCAATGTGTAGTGACATCCTCTCAGATGTCAAACCATGCAGCAGTTTTAAACAGAGAAACTAGAGATCCTGAAATGGCACCTTTTTGGGTTTTTTAACCCTTCCCCTCTCCCCTGCAGGTCCTTAGAGATGGCATGATTGAAAATCAGACCACAGAATCCTTCTGGGAGGTCAACAAGCCCAAGTATTCAGGCACCCTTCATTTGGATTGGTAAGTGTCTGTAGAAAGGACAAATACAAATACCAACTGCTTTTATGGTCACAGAGCTAATAAAACTTAGTCATTTTACTCTTGTGCCAGCCTTCCACAGCAGCACATAGTTAGTAGGTTTTTGTGATGGGGTTTCTCTCTTCTGCTCTGCTCCAAGGGTGACCCGTAAGAAGTGTCCAGATCTGGACTATTTTGTTGTGTTCTCCTCTGTAAGCTGTGGAAGAGGAAATGCTGGGCAAAGTAATTATGGCTTTGCCAATTCTACCATGGAGCGCATCTGTGAGCAGCGACACCATGATGGACTCCCAGGTAAGATGACTTTACTTATTGTGCAGAAGAATGTGTCTCACCAGCTCACCAGAAACTTGTGCACTTATCTGGAATGATAATGAATGTTGAAGGCTGTTTCCTCTCCCAGCTGTTACCCTGAGACATTCACGTGTTAAGGAACACTGACCACTTAACAGTACAAAGGAAATACTGGCCTTTGCTTAGCTGTTTTTTAAGTCCCTTTTGTTTCTTGTGTTAATTTGTTGCCTAGTGTGTTTGTTCTTCTCATTTCTCCTCCAGGCCTGGCAATTCAGTGGGGAGCCATTGGTGATGTTGGCATCCTTTTGAAGACAATGGGAAACAGAGAAACTGTGGTTGGGGGAACTATCCCCCAGCAAATCAGCTCATGCATGGAGGTGCTCGATATATTCCTGAATCAACCCCATCCTGTTATGTCCAGTTTTGTCCTGGCAGAGAAGATCTCTGCAAAAACTGAAGGAAGCAGCCAACGGGATCTTGTAGAAGCTGTTGCTCACATCCTGGGTAAGTGCACTCACACAGGCACTGATGGGTGATATCTGCCATCCCAATGCTTTTGGAAAGCAGTGGTGCTGCTGTAGGTGCTCTGTTTAGCATCTTGTCATGATTTCCTGTGGGGTGTGTGCAGTGGTGTTGCTGTGTCCTTCCTCCAGTGTGACAGACATCAAGTGTTGCAATCAACAGTTTCACCTTGTGTAGCTGAGGATTAGTTGCTTTACATTTATGATTGCAGTTTCAGTAAAAGCCTCCAGTATGTGAAATTCCTCTAGCTGACTGCTCTGAACTTAATCTAGAGCTGAAGAGACAATGTTCACAGCTATTTAGCTGGGACTGATATATACCCTGTCACAAAGCTGTGCACATACAACATGTACTCTGAAGACTCATTCCTGTAAGACTACATGTGGGTTATAGAAGAGGTGATTTTCTGCAAGTGTTAGATAATCCTGAAAGGTAGTTCTCTGTAGCTGAGGTTTATTTAGGTTTTAAGAGGAAAGGAAGCTGCAAATACTGATAGAGAGGCCTAGAAACAAAATGGAATCAGCTGTTGGTTAGTGTGCTGGTTTTTTTCCTCAGGTGTCCGTGACGTGAGTAGTCTGAATGCTGAGAGTACCTTGTCAGACTTGGGCTTGGATTCCTTGATGGGCGTGGAGGTGCGCCAGACACTGGAGAGGGACTATGACATCGTGTTGACCATGAGAGAAATTCGACTCCTCACCATCAACAAGCTGCGGGAACTTTCCTCCAAGTCCAGGACAGCAGAGGGTAAAGCATCTGGGTTAGGGCTCCTGGCAGCCACCTCAGCCCAAACAACTGAGCAATGGATTGGGAGCTTTCGTCTCTAGCAATATCAGCCCCTATCAAATCGTGAAATAAGATAATGAAATGAGGTTACAGCTGAGCAGCTTTTAAGTGACAGACAAGTCACTGAAGTGCATTGATGGTTGGGTCAGGCCCATCGGTTCTGGGGCAGGGTATAAGGAAGAGCATGAAAGCTGCTTTCTCACCTCGCTGTTATCTGCCTGCATGAGAACGCTTGTGCAGCTGTGTGCAGGATGAGGGCTGGAGCAGCTCTGCTGTGAGGACAGGCTGAGAGAGTTGGGGCTCTTTCGTCTGGAGAAGAGAAGGCTCTGAGGTGACCTTATTGTGGCCTTCCAGTATCTTAGGGGGGCTACAAGAAAGCTGGGGAGGGACTTTTTAGGATATCGAGTAACGACAGGACTGGGGGGAATGGGGCAAAGCTGGCAGTGGGCAGATTCAGGCTGGATGTGAGGAAGAAGTTCTTCCCCATGAGAGTGTTGAGACTCTTGAATGGGTTTCCCAGGGAGGTGGTTGAGGCCCCATCCCTGGGGGGCTTAAGGCCAGGCTGGATGAGGCTCTGGGCAGCCTGATCTAGTGGGAGGTGTCCCTGCTCATGGCAGCGGGGTTGGAACTGGGGGATCCTTGTGGTCCCTTCCAGCCCTGACAGATTCTGATCTGTTTTAGCAGAGGACTTTAGAGCCCTAATGGCTCAATGGTTTGACTTGATGATCTTAAAGGTCCCTTCCAACCTAAAGGATTCTATGATTCTATGTAATTTGGGACCTTTTACCTGTCTGAGGAATAAACAATGTCACATCACACTTACGGTAAGCTAAAAGCGTGTGCAGGTGCTGTAGAGCAGCTGACAATAGGAACATCCCTATGGCTGTGCCCTGATGACTTACTGAGCTGATGGGTTAGTCCAGGGCAGCCCTGAGATTCTCCTTTAGGACTATGGCTATGTGACCACGACTGATCCTGAACCTAATGGTGTTTGTCTGGTATGCTTCCCTTCAAAGAGCTGAAGCCATCCCAACTGATGAGGACAGGCTCAGGTGAACTTCCAAAACTAAATTTGAACAACTTGTTGGTGAACCCGGAAGGGCCAACGATCACCCGCCTCAATGATGTTCAGAGCACAGAGCGCCCACTTTTCCTGGTCCATCCCATCGAAGGATCCACTGCAATTTTCTGCACTCTTGCCTCCAGACTTCATATGCCCTGCTATGGTTTCCAGTGCACAAAAGGTATGTCAGTTCTTCAGCATCTTGAGTTTGTAAACATAACATGCTGAATTTTGCTTGCCTTATAGAGAGAGCTTTGCTTCTAGACTCTTAAACTCAGTACCTATAGTTGGTACCTATAGTCAGCATAGTATCATGCCAAACATCCCCGTGTAACAAGAGGAGTACTAGGTTAGACTGAAGAACTTATGTGTGAGGAAACGGAACCACTGGATGTTGCATTGAGTCCCTGCCAGCAGGTAAATATGCAGGAGGAAAGCAAGGCATGCTATCCTACCTGCCTTTGGAAAGCAGGAATGTTACTCCTTGTCCAAAATGTAAGTTGCTAACCATGATTTTAGAAACTTGCCTTCAGAATAACCGAGATGTTTCCAACAGGGCTGTTTCTGAGCTTGTGAAAATGTCCTAGTCTCTGTCCGTGTCTTTTCACCAGAACCTGTTTCTGTCTCCCTTCCATGTTGTAGCGGCTCCCCTGGACAGCATCCAGAGCCTGGCAGCCTATTACATCAGCTGCATGAAGCAGGTACAGCCCGAAGGACCTTACCGCATTGCTGGCTACTCCTTTGGTGCCTGTGTAGCCTTTGAAATGTGCTCCCAACTGCAAGCACAACAAAACGCCTCCCACGCACTCAACAGTCTCTTCCTCTTTGATGGGTCTCATTCCTTTGTGGCAGCATACACTCAGGTAAGCAGTACAGAGACAATCTTCTGTCTGGGGACCACAGTGTGTCATCAGGGCTCATGTTCTGGAGCTTACTGTGCTGCTTAGGAGCCATCTGAAAAGCTGTCAGACTTTCCTTGCCAGGAGCTGGGACACAGATGTAGACAGTGGGTGCCAAGGGATGACTGAAGGATGGAAGCATATGGGGGGTAGTCTTCTTCAGCGGGTGAGACCTAGGGCACAAATGTTGCTCTTGCTATGATAAATCATAATATTAGTTTGTCTTCTAGAAGGTTCTGGAGCCTGCAAGACAAGACTCTCATGTCAGGGTCCTAGAAAACCTTGCTTAAGCTTTTCTTTCTATTTTCGTTGTACTTTCTAGGGGATACTAGGCCCTTGCCACCCGTGGGTTTGCTTTCTAATTGTTCTCAAGGGATTTCCACCCCCACCCCAAGCTTCTGTCTGTCTTTTTTCCCCTCTCCCTTTTTCCCAGTTCAAAGCTCTTTGTTCTGTAATTGTTTTTTATCGAACATTCAAGATCAGGTGCACCCCTCTCATGTTTGCATATTACTCTTCTCTTTTCCAGAGCTATAGAGCCAAACTGGCACAAGGAAATGAGGCTGCATTGGAGACTGAAGCATTGGGTGTCTTTATTCAGCAATTTATATCCATTGAATACAGTAAGGTAATGTTTTGCTTTTTTAATACATATCTCTATGTTGCACAAGAGGGCTGTGGGGGTTTATTTAATGGAAATGGAATCTCAAATATTGAGATTAAAGGGGAAAAAAAAATGTCAATATTTCCAGCTGCTGGAGGTTCTTCTGCCCCTGAAAGATCTGGAGGCTCGTGTGAAAGCTGCTACAGACCTGATAACTCGGATTCACACAAACATCAATCATGAAGCACTCAGCTTTGCTGCTACTTCCTTTTACTATAAGCTGAAGGCTGCTGATAAATACATACCAGAGTCCAAATACCATGGGAATGTGACGCTGATGCGGACACAGTCTAACAACGACTATGAAGATGGTCTGGGTGAAGACTACAGACTCTCAGAGGTCAGTCTGAGACCCACAGGTGACTTGAGATGCTCCTGATATTTGGGGGAACAAAAGAAACACATGGAAAGTAATCCTTGTTGAGAGAGAAGGGACGAAATCAACCAGAAAGGAATTATCATTCTGTGGCTATTGTGATCTAACAAGAATGAGAAGTCCTCAGAAGCAACTGAGTTGACTCCTTCCAGGCATTGAGGGCCAGGAAGCCTAGCCTCTGTGTTGGATAAGTGTGTGTTTTCTGTAGCTGATTCTTGCAGCTCCCTAGATGGACTTTAGATGATCAAGATGTTAACAGTAAGTAACTTGACAGAAGTAACTTCTAGTCTTCTCCTTTCACTGTAGATCCCTAAAATTTGTCCACTGCATAAGAGCAGACTTCTGAAGAGCAAGTGTCAGCCTTCTGACAGTAGAGGTGGCTTTTTCTTAGTTGCCTTTTGTGGACCACTTATAAGTTAGTATGTGGGCTTTTTGTGGGCCTAAAAAAACTTGGGTTTTTTTCCTGTAGTCTGTACAGGGCCACTGCTCTTTAGCCTCAGTTCACTTAAGAGTTAAGTGTCTCAGATTGTGGTACAGATACCAGGGAAAGGGAAGTGATTTTCAGAAGTACCTTCCTGTTTATAGCATCCTGTCCCTTCAGACTTCTAACTTACAAGCTAGACTGGAATCAATAATGAATGTAAGTTACTAAAGTTACATAATGACCTTAAGTGGATATTCCCTTATAAGGTGGTGGGAGAAAGATGAGGTGGGAGAGTAATCTGGTTTTCTTCAGGGATTGGAAGTAGCTATTTTAAAACAGTCATTCTTTGATATTATAGGTAAATTATTCTGTTAGTATCAGGTTGGTTGGCTTCCTGACCAGCTTATACTTGGGTAGATCACCTGCCAGGCTGTTAAACTGTGGTGCTTTAAAACACTGGTTCCAAACAATGTCCTGCAGCCAATCTATGAAAATGTGTCAGAATAAAACTGGTGCTGCTTTTGACAGTTTGATGGAGACAGTGGTGTTAATATGAGTAACTCAGAAGACTGACAAACTCAAAACAGCTAGGTGACCAGCTGGTAGTGAATTGTGAGCATAAGATTTTCATTCTCCTATCTACACAGGTATGTGATGGGAAAGTGTCTGTCCACGTCATTGAAGGGGATCACCACACCTTACTGGAGGGAGAGGGCGTCCAGTCAATTCTTGGGATCATCCACAGCTCACTAGCAGAGCCACGTGTCGGTGTCAGAGAGGGTTAACTTCTGCTTGCTCATTGGCAATGGTGAAGGAAATACCAACAACATTCCTTGTTACGACAGACCCCAAGGAGCTCTTCCGGTTGTTCAACATCTCATCTGCTCTACTGCCAGCACTGGGAGGTCAAGCTGAACTTGTATTGGTCTTTTTCCCTCTCTTTCTTGCTCATCTTTTCCTTTCCCAACTTTTATAGGTTTTTTTTTCTTCTTCCTATCCTTTGTTTTCCCCTAGTACCCCTCTCCATATTACTCTAGGGCTGTGACGTTGTCACTGTACACTGCTGTGAGGGTTCCCTGCTGAAGGTTGCTTCCTATGCTGTTGGCAGTATGAAAAACAAATTTAGGAGTAGATTTCTTGTGCTTTATATTGTTTTGTCTTAACAGTATTCCAAAGGGTACGTGACAGCACTTGTTGACCAAGCCCAGTGATCAGGGAGAGGAGCTGCAGCTGATTTCGGAGATACCTTTTGTCTGTGAAGAATCTGTCTGTAGTTAGGTCAGAAAGAGAATTCCATTGAGGCTTTTGTAACTATTTTTTTAATTTGATATATTCTAATTATTTATTGTGTCAAACCAGAGACTTCTTACTTGGTGTTAAATTATCGTGGGTTATAGAGGAAAAGAAACATCCCTCTCTGGAGGGGAATGTTTATTCTCCACGGGGAAGTTGCCCATTTGTTAAACCAAAGTGCAGCTTTGGAACAGTCTGGTGTCTTTTGTTGTTGTTGTTTTTGGTTTTGGTTTTGTTTCCTTCTTTCTCCCACTGCCCTGCCCTCTTCAGCAAGGAAAAGGTAGAAGAGGGGGTTCTTGCCATTATCCACTCTTTTTTTCTGGGGGGGGAAGAGTTTGACAGATGACACTATTGAACAGCCTTAACTCATGCGTGGTAAAACAGGGCAGAGCTGTCCCTATGCAGGTACTTTGTTTATATTTGTGGAAGGTTCTGTGCTTTGTTGTATCAGAACCTTAGTAAAGCACTAAGACTTTTGCTTTACCTTATTCCTTCCCACCTCCAGTCTCGCCACCCAACCAGACATTTGGAATGGGGTGGGAAATAGAATTCTTCAATGATAACTGAACAAATACTCCTACATCTGCTTTCCCATAACCAAAGCTCAGACAGACATACAAGCGTTTACCCAAAGCCCCTGTATATTTTATTTAGCACAGGGCTTGCTTAAGCCTTGTGTATGCATTTTCCTCGCAGTAATGAGACTGGAGATCCCACATAAGTTAGCTAAGTAATCAGTTTCGTGGTGTGGTTTCTAGATATAGTACCTTTTTAAAGAAAACTTGCATAAAATTAATTTAATTTTTTTTTGCCTTTGCTCTGCTGGATCTGTCCTTTCTGAAATCAGTAAATCCTTGCTACACTTATGATACAGAGGAGACTGAGGTATCAACAAAGCGCCAACTAGGAGGAGCTATCATGGCTCTCAGAACTGCCATAAACCCCCAGTTCTCTCCATCTTCATCCTCCAGTGAAGTATCCTTCCTGGTGTGCAGGAGCATTCCAGTGACAAATGGGTGGCTCTTTACTGCAGGTTCTGACCTCGTGACTTGTGCTTATACCACCCTCTGTTGATAGTGGCTGGGCTAACTGGTTTTAGTTGTATACAGTATTTCTTTTGTGAAATCTGAAATAAAACCAACGTAATGTCAGCTTAAAGCATTTCCAAAATAATTCTTGTTCTTTTTTTCCTTTTTTTTTTTTAAATACTTCTTGGTCTGAAGTGTGTGTTTCTCTTTGGCTTTCCTAGTATTAAACAGAATTGATCACTAGTTGGCTTTTTGTCTTATTCTTTACCATCATTTCTTAAACCTGTGTTTCATCTGGAATCTCAGATTTCTTGGAACAAAGCAAAAACTGCTGCTGGCATATCTGATTTAGAGTCTGTAGAAATACTATCAATAATAAAGACTACTTAGGCTGGAGCATGGCTTCTTGTTGCCATGATTTTGGTACCTTAGGTTACAACTCACCACACACCTGCAAGACTGAAGTGGAAACTCTCCAGTTAGGGTTAATTCTAATTCAAATTCACATACAAAGGAGTGAAGTGGTTAATGTGTGAGGGTGAGGTCCCTTACAGCTGCAAAGAATCTCATGGGGACTGGGCACATCCATGTGCACTCTATCTACTGCATTCAGTCCATACACATCTTAGCATGGGGTACTACATAAAATCCAGTACTGCAGTTCCTCATTTTCAGAAGACTAGAGCAGAACTGAAGTCCTATGTGTCTAACCTTCTCTGTGAAATTAAAGCAGGGCTCTCTTTTCAACTGATATTTGTTTTCCATCCTCCTTTTCAGCCAGGCTTTCACAGACTCATAGAATGTAGTGGGTTAGAAGTGACCTCTAAAGGTCATCTAGTCCAACCCCCCTGCAATAAGCAGGAACATCATCTAACTAGACCATAGCCTCAAGTGCTACATCTACTCATCTTTTGACCGCCTCCAGGGATGATGATTCCACCACTCCCCTGGGCAGCCCATTCCAGTGCCTAACCACTCCTTCAGTGAAGAAACTCTTCCAAATATCCAATCGATACCTCCCCTGGTGCAACTTGAGGCCATTTCCTCTCATCCTATCATCAGTAATGCTACAACCTCCTTTTAGGTAGTTGTAGGGAGCAATAAGGTCTCCTCTCAGTCTCCTCCACACTAAACAACCCCAGTTCCCTCAGCACAGCTCCACAAGGCATGTTTTCCAGCCTTCTCACCAGCCTTGTTGCCCTCCTCTGGACCCGCTCCAGCACCTCAATACCCATCTCATCCTGTGGTGCCCAAAACTGGACAAAGGACTCCAGGGGCAGGATCACCTCCCTCCTGCTGCTGCTCACACCGTTTCTGCTACAGTCCAGGATGCCCTTGGCCACTTGGGCACACTGCTGGCTGATGTTCAGTTGGCTGTCCACCAACACCCCCAGGTCCTTTTCCAGACACTCCTCCCCAAGCCTGGAGTGTTGCCTGGGGTGGTTGTGGCCCAACCACAGGACCCAGCCCTTGGCCTTGTATAGACCTCGTACAACTGACCTCAGCCCGTTGCCCCAGTCTGTCCACATCCCTCTGCAGATCCTCCTGCCCTCCAGTGATCGACACTTAATTGCGTGTCACCTGCAAATTTACTGAGGGTGCATTCACAGGAGCCTGTTTAGATTAGGTATCTCTTGCAGATCTCATGTACATCACATCTGAGTGCTAGAAAGTTGGGGAGGGGGAAAGCTGTAGGCTTTGACAGTGAACTTGAACTGTGAAGGCTGTCAATGCACCGGCTCTAACAGACTTCTAAGCAACTGGACTACTTGTGGTACTCTGCTTAGTGGCTCCTGCTTACTTGTTGTAGATGATTTTGTTACAAATTTTTCCACTTCTGAAGAAAGGTTTAAAGCCCTATGACTAAAGCTACATAGGCTTTGACAAGTAGAGATGCAGCACTTTTGATGTTCTGGAACTCCACCACTGTGCTTATGCTGGTGGTGGGCAGCAGCTTTCTAAAATGCTGCAGAATTCAGTTTTGTCACGTATGTTGTTATTTTTGGTTCAGCCAGGTGGTTCCACCTCTCTGCCCTGATCACAGAACACCAAGGACCAGCGAGATCCTCTTGCTTAGCCAGAGTTAATGTAACAACACTTGACCGCGGCACCTGCTGGGGACAGCGGCCGAAGCGCAAAACAAGAAGTACCGCAGGGGGTTCGTGCGCTCGGCTGGGCTGGGGGGGCTCGGAGCCGGCCGCAGAGGGAGGCAGAGCAGGGGCAGGGGCAGAGCAG